TAACATTTAATAAAGCTTTTAGAACTTTGAAGTGACTTGTTTTATGATGTGTCTGCCTCCCGTGTTTAACGTGGTTTTTCCCTTGACAGAGGTGTTTATGTCTTGGTGTGGACATGCCAAGTCAGTTGTTATACTATATTCTTCTCAGGTTTAACAGGGATCTGTAAATGAAGTTTAAAGCCTCAAATCCCTTTTGGATGATTTTATTTTATTTATCAACATTTATATGAATTTTATGCTACCATTTTAAGCTTTATACTACCCAGTTTGCTAATCGTAATCCCTTTTCTCTTTTGTTACACATGGGTAGCCTAAGCAAGCATTTTAGCGCTCTCTGTTTGTAATACTATTTTTAATCATTCTTTGTATGTATTTCTTCTGACTATTCAGATATTGTCAATTCAACTTTGGATATTTGCATATTGATTTCCTTTGTGCTGGTTAATGATCTCAATAAAGTTTTTTGGCTGCAGTTTTCCTAGGAAATGTGTTGATTGTTTGCATAATCAAAGGTAGCTGAAGTTAGCCAAGTCAAGCCCAAAGCTTTAACAGGAGTCTTAATAGTTTGCATGCTTAGGACAGAAAGAGAGTTCCTGACTTTAAAGGAGGCATTCTGACTTCAGAAAATCTGATTCTAATATCTGTGTCATCTCTAATGCTAATTCTTTCCAGAAGCAGAGCTTGGGGGTGGAAGGATATAGTTAGAGGGACATGGAATCAGTGGATCTAGACTTTCACACACACACACAAACACACACACAAACGGGGGGGGGGGCAGCATTTTATCTATATTAGCCCTGGAATTGGTATATATTTTTCTGTTCCTTTTAGTTCTTCAGAGGAAATTTATTTTTTAAAAAAAGAGCCAGGGAGGAAAGGCTAGGGAACAAGAAAAACATCCAGTCATAATATTAATCTCAACTTTTTATACACAGTCCATGCTGTTGTGGATATAAAGAACATCTTATCACACAAGCATGACCCTCTCAATGTCAGCTTAAAAGATATCATTTCTTTAATAATAACATTCACAGACTGCCACATTCTTTGAGGATTTTAGAATCCCATTTGGGAGGTTTTAGGAACAGACTAACCGGTACAAAATCTATTATAATAATCCAGTTTTTTTCTTCTTTCAGATGTCACAGCAAGTTCCCAGGCAAGTTTTTGAATCTTCACCCAAAGAACTTGATGTATGAAATAGCCAGGGCCGAACTGGTCAGTAACCTTGTTTTATCCAATATAGAGAAAGCTATCTGGTCAGTCTTGTGAACACAAATTATAGTTCACCAATCAGGAAAGATTTGGTTCTCTGTTTTATCTATAGTTAGCACAATTATTGCAACTGAGTTTTGACAGAGGTGGTTGCTTGGTAATATCTTGTGCTTGGACCTGTAGAATAAGATGCTGCTTAATAGTTTCTGAAGGAGAAGCGATGCAGACCAATGTTATATAATTTGTGATTAACTCAAAGAAACTGGCAGGTTGCCTTCACAGTAAACTCATATTCTACATTTTGCAATTATTATCTTCTTAAACAGCCAAGAGATACTGTATCTATAGTCATAAAATAAGGATTGACTTAGCAGCCTGACATTATGGTGTTCCTCTACATTAACAGCAGGGCACATATTTAGCAATAATTGACTCCTTGGTCTTCTGCTGTTACTGGATTTGAGCTTCAGTGCACGTATGGGTGTTTGGCATCAAGAGACAGACAGCATGCCTCTGAATTTCAGTTGCTGGAAAATACCATCAGGAAAGAGCTATCACGATGTATCCTGCCTTTGGTATCTGACTGGGAGATCTGGGAAAGAATACTGAACTAGACTGGTGTTTGACAGGATTCAGCAGGGTCCTTCTTAGACATTTTAAAATCACGTTGCTCAAAATGGTTACAGATGCTGTTATACCACAACAGCTAGGAGAATGGTGCAAGATCATGCTGAAATTTAACAGCATGGCTTCTCCGGTGTGTCAGTGAGAACAAAATTAGATCAAGGAAACTAAACTGTCACTTCACTTGGATATTCACACAGAGAGGAACTTTAAAACTCTCACCAATTAAACACTGGAATCTTTTTTTCCTTATTTGCAACTACAAATGTTAGAAATCTACTTTTACTCTTTTTTACCTACAGGAAGAAAAAATAAGAAGGGAAGAAAAGCCTATGAAAAAGAAGCTTTGTGGTGGTAGGTTAGTGAAGAAAATATTTACTATTTGATAGTAAAAATAACTACAACATAAACTTGCAACAATATTGATCTGCAGAAAGAGGAACTAGATTGATATGTACAGTGGGCATTTTTATTATGATCAAACGATTGCCTGGAGAGCTTGTCTGAGATTTTCCCTTGAATTTTCAGAACTCTGTTTTCATGACGAATCAGACAGACCAGTTTCCCTTAAAGAAAAACAGAATCCAAATGTGAATTTGCAACACAATCAATGGCACCAGAACGTTAAACAAAAGGATGGTTTATAAAATCTAATGAGATCCTCTTGCAAGTTTGAAACCTTCATAACCATTATACTACGCACCGTGTGTAAGATTTGCCCCGTTCGACAGAGAAACTCTCGTGACACGTGTGGTTCACAAAGAA